GGTCTAGAAATAAGTAAAAATGTCTTAAATTAAGCGTATTTATCCTTAATTTGAGCAGGTAAATGAGATTATTTGCCAATGGAATGAGTATTTTTACTCTTAATATATAATTAGATAATATGGATTGGAAATAAGACAATATAATAGTTTTTTTTAATGTAAATTGTCTTGTTCTATTGGCAAAAATGTTTTTACGTCCTCAATTCAAGAACAAATGCAGTTATTTTAAGAAAAAAATGACTTATTCCAATTTTGTCCAGTGAAAGTGTCTGGATGTTTTGGGGTTTTTATATATAAAAGTGTTGTTTTTCAAAATTCGAACATAGTCAAGATGAATTAAAACGTTACAATAGTATTTTTTTTACTGATTAATCATTTTTCATGTAACAAATGCCAACGTTTCAGCGGGGATGTATAGACCTCTCATATCCAACAAGAGCTCAACGTTCACAAAGACTCAGTGATTCTCTTGACTGCTTCCTTCATCGTTGGATATCTAATATTTCTGAGCTATGATTTGGAAGGAAAGATGTAGTCAGTGCCGTCTCACCCATTGATGTCATTGCAAGTGTCTGTCTCCCAACAAACTGGGCCGGTCCCATCCCATCCAAGAAGTCACTGAACTGGGCATCAGATGCGAGACACATTCCGCTGTAGTTCAGACTGAGGAGACATCAGAAGAAATGGAAAGTTGAGTCGTAAAACGGTGGAAAACAAAGTGAAACAACAGTGAAGAAAAAGGCTGGAAAATGACATCAATAGAGAACAATAAAAAATAAAATAAAAAACATTAAAATCCCTAAACTAGTAAAAGTAAATAGTGCTAACTGAACTCAGTTGAATGTAGAGTTGAACCCACAGGGCCTGCTTTATCTGCGTGCTTAGAAGAATCAGATCAGAGTGCTTTGGTGGCAGACGGCCAGCAACTATAAATGTGTCTGTGTCTGGATTTCTGGCTAATCTTTACCTTAAAAAATGCAGAGGAGAGTAGCAGTAAAAGCAAACAATATGATGAACAGAACACCTGCTTCTGGAAAACCCATCAGGAAAAGTTTTCCACCAGCTCCAGCGATTAGTGCGGCAAAGATCTAGTTCTGAGGGAGATTATCAACTTTTCCCATTGATGATGCTCAACGAACAATTAATGGATGGATGGATGGATGGATGGATGGATGGATGGATGGATGGATGGATGGATGGATGGATGGATGGATGGATGGATAAACGAAGG